TTTTTTACGAGTGTACATGCGCGAAAATTCACCTGCAGCTATATTCAGACTCGCCAAGTTATGTCGGTCGTATTGTAATGAGCGATTTAGTGGGCAACTTCATTCCGTTTATTTTGTGTCACGGTGCGCGCGCATCGTAAAATTTTCTCTCTCATCAATTTTTCATAACGCGCCTAAAGAAGTATAACTTCAAAAAACTATTTGTATTTTAACAGTAATATATTTAATGTAAAGTCGTATTTTTTCTATCTATAGCCATAGAAAAATTCAGATTCAAATATAAGATACTCGAGACCGCTTATTTTGTTCTATTTACTAAAGTTACTTACGAATGTAGAATAGATCGATAGATCCGGACTAGACTCTCCACCATTTGCATGCGAAGGATTCTTGAATACTTTGGCCACATCGCAAGGAAAGACAGTGACAACTTAGAGAAATTGATGGTCACTGGAAAGGTCGAGGGCAAGCGACCAAGAGGCAGGAACCCGACCCGTTGGACGGACCAGATTCGTGCAGCCCTGGATACCACAGTGCACGATGCTCTGCACTCAGCTGCAGATAGGAACAGATGGCGGTGCACTATAAAAAACAATCTGTTTCAAGGCCATGACCACGACCCTCAGTAATGAGGAAACCGACGCAAGGAGGAGATAGCCATAGAAAAATTCAGATTCAAATATAAGATACTCGAGACCGCTTATTTTGTTCTATTTACTAAAGTTACTTACGAATGTAAAAATTAAAGCACAAATCACTAACGACGATGTAATAATATAATTTTCGCAAACTCATTATTTTTTATGTCTTTCAGGAACTGTTCGCGTACGAACGAAATTATGAATGAAGTAATAGGCTTTAATTAATAGCGTTGTTAAGGCGACTGTGTGAAATGACGCTATAAATTGCTGGTAAAATATTAAACTAAATTTGGTCTTAGGGCAAATTGCAAGCGATACGATACGAGGGAAGAGTTCACCTTAGAAACTGATTACTTTCTACAGAGTCTCATTCTACCTTATTTAATTATTAATTTCTGTTTATCATGTTCTAAATATATGCTTAATACATACCTGTGAAACAATACTGTGGAGGAACTTCTAAATTCTCGTCTCTGAAAGGGCAAAGAATCTTAATAATTTTATCAACCCCTTTCAACTCAATTCTTTTATCATTCAAACTTTACCGAAAACTTCAACACATAAACACAATACGTTATTCTGATACCAACTTATTAATAACATAGTTAATTTAAAATATACCTTTATTTCTTGTTGTTTTTTCTTTCGAATTAATGCCTATGGTGGATGAGCTCACGGCCCACCTGGTGTTAAGTGGTTACCGGAGCCCATAGACACCTACAACGTAAGTGTCGCTACCCACATTTTTTTTTAAAGCTGGGGAATCCATTTACGGATACCCGGTCGAGCTGGGTAACAGACCGGGTTAAGTCAGACACCGGCGTCTCCAGAGAAGAAGAGGTTGTACACTCCCTGCCGGGAGACTACGCCCAAAAAAAAAGGAGCGCGAGGCGCTGCACGGCGTCAGCCACGCAAGAGCTACCCCGCAAAACCGACTACCGATTAAACCCCATCGAGCCCCACCACTTCGACTTCACGGTATGGTACCGCCGAAGGTTCGTCATCGCCGATGCCTGCTGGGACAGCAGGACGGGCTTCGGCGCAGGGCAGTGAGTTCTATGGTCTCCGTTTTTACAGTACAACGGCTGCCCCACCCTTCAAACCGAAGCGCATTACTGCTTCACGGCAGAAATAGGTAGGGCGGTGGTACCTACCCGTGCGGATTCACAACACGTCCTTACACACGTCCTACAGCAGTAATATCCTTTCTGTCTTTTGTTCTTTTGTATTTTTATTTTTATTTATTTCATTTATTTAGATCTGGTTGCAAGATATTACATTCATTATCTATCATTCATATATTATTATGTATTATTAAATATTATCGATGTGAGATTAAACAAAACAAACCATGTGGAACATGACGTTTTGTAATATTAAATAATTTATACGGTTCGTTAGTTTACAATGCAATTTATATTCGTTAATCAGGGTTTTTATATATCAATGGTTAATCATAAATAAAGTTGCTGGACTACCTACTTGTCGCTGCTTTCACCGCATTTTAATACTGTGTTGTATACTGAAAAATTAATGCAGTACAAAATGTAAAACTCCGGAATGGTTGCTTTGTATTAGTGGAACTATTTACTGGGATGGTTTTTTCCACATACGAAATGACATTCAGTTTATAAATTTGGAGTACGCACACGTGAATACAGTTTACGTGAGTCGTATTCGAAGCATTTGTTTCAGGAAGCCATGTAATAGAATTATGCCTTCGTAAGCAATGAATCAACTAGAATTTTGCCTACAGCACGATAGCGCTGTTGAAATTTTTTTCTGAATTCATATGTTTGTATTGTAGTAAATGTTTACGCGTATTTACACCGAGTTATACAGGATAAGAAAAATCGTTCGCGAATCCCGAGTGCAAACGGAAATCTATATTCATTTGCTAATTTAAGAATCACCCTTTTTTTTTTTTTGAAAATGCAAAGGTGGGAAAGTGTTGTCTTTAGTGCGGAGCACATCTCTCCCATCACCCTCCCCCTCGGGACGCCGGACCGGCGGTCGGCAGGCTGTTCGAAGCCCGCCTAGATGGTGCCGCTTAGAGTGAGTTATCTTACGGAATACCCCTCTGGGCCAGAACCAGCGTGGGTCGAGGATAGCCGGCCTTCCATCACCCGGATGTTCTTGCGTAAAACGCGTGCAGAGCAGCTTGCACGTCATCTTCTTAGGACCCCCTCGCCGGTCCCCAGACCGACATGTGAGGGGGACCGAAACACTTAGAGGGCCAGGGCTTGGGCGAGATCCGCCTCCCTGGCCCCCGCTCGACGGCGGCGGGATTGTGCGTCTCAGAATCACACCTTAACGTAACACAGTTGTGAGCTCGTCCATGCGTGTCAAAGTGGAGGTATGCACTATTTGCTTTCTGGGTTCTAGTAACCACTTCACAGTACCACGCGGGCTGTGAAAACATTTACTGGACAATACAATAAAACAAAAGCGCGTCCGTGCGAAAAGTAAGTATATTTGATGAACACGCAATGGAATGCGAATATAAATTCCTCTTGCTTTTCATAGATACCATAGATTTAGATTGTTTTATAACGCATGCAAGCCAAAATTATTACTAGCAGAATGTTTTGTACGTGAATTATCGTGTTACCAATTAAACTCAAATATTGTATTCGATTTTGGGGAACAGTTCCAAAAAAAGTAATGACTTCGTTTGTGTTTTGTACGTTGCGTTCTTCTTTGTTCTCATTATTGCAGGGAAATATGGTATGAATGCTAGCTTCGACGATTCTATGACAAAGTGAAAATTATCTGAAGCTTATTGCTTGGGTGAGGATAATAACTCTTCAAAAACACGGGTCTTGATGATGATGGAGCAAAAACGCAGCTGCCTTAAATCACACGATTTACGGGCCAACTCCAAACAATAATTCACCTTATAAAGTCTCATATCTGGACACGCTCATGGTTCAGATAGGTGCCTTTCCAAGCCAGGTTTGAAAATGATTACTTACCACCGTGTTTTTAGTTTTCCTCAGTCAGATTTATCGGCGCGTATGGGTAGACGACCTATTGGCCCATTCGTAACCCCAAAAATAAGACGCCCGGTGTATTCGCAATCATTTCGACCGATGCAAATTAACGTTGTAAGCCTAGACACACGGAATTAATGTTTGTTCACGATCGACTTCCACGATGACGGATTCATGTCTTCCCATAAAAACGAAACACGTAACATTTATAAATTTTTTAAGGGAGTAATGAATGCTAGCTTGAGGATTAGGGAAGTAAGTTTACAATATTACTGCGATTCCGACGTTAATACCCCACCGCATTAAGATATGATGACTCCAAGATTGATGTCGGCATTCACAAAATAGTATATATAGGCTGCGGAAACCGCATTGTATTAGGACTTAGGACCTAATCCAGAGTAATAAAATGAACGAAATCGTTCATATTAAATAGGTAAGGGGAGGAAAGGAAAGGAGTAGAACTGACTCTCTAACTCGCACACCGGAACACAGGCTATTTGCGGACCCTAGTTGAAGGGTGGTCGCCAGCTAGTCGGAGAAGGTCCTACCACCGATTAAAAATCGACCTCGTTCAACCATCTAAATGATAAAAAAAAGTGTATCAAAACCATGACTAATTTAATTAACCGTATGCTAAATATTTCTAATGAGATAATAGATGAATTATCTGAAACAAATGAAAAAGGCTCATTGGAATTATTTGGCAAATGGTTAACAAACATTTTAATGGTTTTCATAAATAGCGCAAAGTAATATCAAATTAGCATATTTTTTAGATTAAATTCAATGATTTAAATTTCTGTTTAAACGAAATTAACAATTAAAATTAAAAACTTTGATTCGGCTTAGCAACATATTTTTTTCATTGAAGAATGATGTTATTCAAGCAGAAAGCATGGTTCGATTGCCGTGAACTCGAAAAGGAAGCTGTACAAATATTGATTGTGCGTTCACTGAGCTCGCGTTTATCATTTCCCATATCTGTAGTGGATATAATCCTAGCGTTTCATTTAAACATACTAGACTAGTTTTATTGGATTACCTTTCTTCATATTTTATTCAAAAATAATCGGGATAAATAATTCAGCGGCGCGTTCCCTCGCAGCAGTGTTCTTGTTTTGTAAACCAATGTTTTTATCGGCTACTCGCGTGTCGTGTTAATGTGGATAGTTTCAGCGAAATATCGATTGCTAATTGTTTAATAAAATGATTTATTTCTTATAAATTCGACCGGCTCCGAATCGGTAACAATGAACTTTAATAGAACGACGTTAACGTAACGCTGTGCTGATAACTATCTCGGCGTGTATAGAATAGCGTGTATCGCGTGGTTGTCAGTCGGCGCGCGCGCACTCTCCACGGTGGTACGCAAGTCGCTGCTATCTGTAAAACTACGTAAATCGAAATCGTTATCACTGAACTCATGTTGTACCTCCTAAATATAAAGCCACTTCTCTGAGGTAAGTCCATTTCAATAAAATTCTCGAAAATTTAGTTGGAACCGCTCCGAAATCTGTAGAAGCAGTTTTAGAAGTTTTCATTTGTACAAAGTTTAATTAAATTGATGTTACTAAGAAAGTGTCGCTGCATATAACAAACCAGCTAAATTTTATTCGGATCAGAGTCGATATAAAGTATAATAATTTTGTAAATTCACGGAATATCTAATTAAGAGAAACTTCTACACAATAAACAGTTTTTCGTTTGAATCAAGTATCGCATAATTCGAAACATGTTCCTAATTAGATGAATCAAAGTAAAAGTTGTTTAATTAATGGTAATTTAAAGGTATTAAGTGTGATTACCTTAAATCTTTCAAAGTACTTATGAATTGTTTATGAACTGAGTTCGAGGAAGAGCTTCCGATATTTTGTTATGTTTTCTAAGCTCTTTTAAATATCACAGTCTTTTGTTTTAATTAAAAAAGCAGAAATAAATTATTGTAAATTATTGTTGGGCGCAATATTCTAGGTTGAATTTACTTTTAAACTATCTGACTTCTGACTTTTACAAAAGCAAAAAAATTTAAGTCAAGTCAGTGCTAATCATCATTATGCTTATAACAAATACGATAAAAAACATTTGAATTTGATACTGTAATTTAAATTTTAATTAATGTTCAAGGGTTGATGGTTAAACGTTGATGCTATTAATTTATTATTATTTTTAATTAGAGCAAACATCACTTTCCCATATATTTGTATTCATTTTGTCGCCAAATGATCTTTTTTTTTTTTGGTAACAAAATACACGAAACACAACTTTTAATCATAATTTTCACACCTTTTTTTTTTTTTTTTTTTAACGCTGGGGAATCCAATTACGGATACCCGGTCGAGGGGGGCGCCACACACCCTGAGACACAAGTTCCAAGGTCTCAGTATAGTTACAACGGCTGCTCCACCCTTCAAACCGAAACGCATTACTGCTTCACGGCAGAAATAGGCGGAATAGGCGGATGTATATTAAATATGTATATATATGTGTATAAAAAAAATCTTACATTTATTTCCGTCATCTGGTACCTGTAACACAAGTTCTTTACGAACTTATCACGGGACCAGTTAACATGGCGTGATTGTTAGTAAATATTTATTTATTTATTATAGTTATTATTATTATAGTGGCAATAAATAATAAATGACGATGAAATAAGCAATTGAAATAAAATAAGGTTTATTACGGCCTAAACACAGCCATAAGTGATTTAATAACTACTCCTAAGAATGTAATCATTCCCTTAAACCAACAATCGTAACATAATACAACATTTACTTTTTGGAACGGTTAATATTGTAAAAAATGGAATCCGTGGCTAAATTGTAAAAAACGGAATCCTAATCATTTCGTTCGTTCCGTTGCATCATTTGTCACAGGCTTTTTGGTCGGAAACCCTTAATACTTTCCTATTGTAGACGATGTCTGTGCTTCTAGATGTAATGTATTCTGTAAATATCTTAAAAGAGTAGACTAGAGAGCCGATATTACAAAAAATAAGAACAGTATGACCGGGATGGAAAAAAATTATGACTATAAATAATCATGTAGTCGATTGTTGGTATCGGGTTAAAACTTATCATTTTTATATCGGGTAATCCGTGGGATATGAGCTTCTGAAGTCGTAAAAATTGTCTAACAACTCTGACTTCATCTGCGGGGAGGAAACAGATAAAAAAGCTGACTTTAGAACTTTCAACCGAAATTATTAATTTAACTTATTATTAACAAATTTATTTTCAAGCGCGGACAAATAGAAACTGAATAACTGATTTTTATGAAACTAGTGAGTCCGATCGATTTTGATGTGATTAAAATAATGAAATACACATTTGTGGAAACTACTCGCGCACGACCTACTATATACATAAACATACCCAGAAATTCTAACAATATTTGAACAGCTCCATGTTTCAACGTTTGTGATCAACGTCCGAACGTATAGAACACGGTCATTCAAACAAACAAATATACATTTTAGAACATATTGTTTTGAATGGATTTAACGTACTGAAAAATTATTAACAGTTATTTTAAACTATTTAGTGAAGTAATTAATAATGATTAATTTTTATTAAGTAAGCTTTGAGACATAAACCTAATTTGACACTGTTATGTTCAAAATATACGTAACATTTAGTGCCTAACTAAGAGTAAAATCTTTTGGTTCAAAGCGTCACTAACCAAGTCAAAGCTAACTGTTTCAAAGTAAAAGAATAAACATTTTTTTCATTAAGATTCCATTAATTATTAATGAATGTTTCAAAGACTTCGCTACGTACCTATTAACGTTCATCATTTAGAAAGCGAATCTAAAACCAATTATTTAACAAAACCACACATCCGACGTCCGTATACATACCTACTCGTAGAATGTTTTTTATTGTTTCCTGGCGAATAGAGCGTTCATTACATTTTGATCGAGTGAAGTCGTGAGAAATTAAATTCGCCAATCGAAAGGTCCGTGAGAACTCGTTGTAGATGTAAAATAATGGTTCAGAAATTAACCGAAACATAACCTCACCTTGGATTTACGTTGTATTACGTTTCACAGACAGTTTGTTCAGGATGCCTAGATTCTGAATTAGCTATTGTAATGTTGCTATCTTGTAAAATAGTATTTTGGGATTTGTTTATATCTGTTCCTAATATTTTGCGTGTTTTCTGTTTCGCTTTCGTTATGTAAAAATATTTTAATCTTAAATTTTAACGTGAATCGCATTTGGGATTAGCTGGAGTTTTACGGTTTAATTTAACTGTCATAAAATGTTAATGGAGTTTGCCGTTATATAGAACAAACAGTCCATTCGTATTCACAGTGCTTTGTGTGTCCAAATACACCTAATTTTTTTTTCAAATTTTAACATTAACGATATCTTTAGCTTTATCTGAGGTGTCTCACAAATCAATTGACAAAACTGATTTGTTTGCTTCGAAATCGTTATATGAAACAGTGAAGTCCATTCGTATTTACAGTGCTTTGTGTGTCCAAATACACTTCATTTTTTTTTTTTTCAAATTGTAACATTAACGTTATCTTTAGCTTTATCTGAGGTGTCTCACAAATCAATTGACAAAACTGATTTGTTTGCTTCGAAATCGTTAAATGAAACAGTGAAGTCCATTTGTATTTACAGTGCTTTGTGTGTCCAAATACAGTTCATTTGTTTTCTTTCAAATTTTAACATTAACGTTATCTTTAGCTTTATCTGAGGTGTCTCACAAATCAATTGACAAAACTGATTTGTTTGTTTCGAAACTATGAATAGTAATTGTAATGTATTTAACTTGTGTTCTTTTCGAGATGATAATTAAAATTTTAACAATAACAAAACTCACTTTGACTTTAAGTGTGAACNCCAAATACAGTTCATTTGTTTTCTTTCAAATTTTAACATTAACGTTATCTTTAGCTTTATCTGAGGTGTCTCACAAATCAATTGACAAAACTGATTTGTTTGTTTCGAAACTATGAATAGTAATTGTAATGTATTTAACTTGTGTTCTTTTCGAGATGATAATTAAAATTTTAACAATAACAAAACTCACTTTGACTTTAAGTGTGAACTTGAAAGTCGGCGTCCATTTAAAGCTTATAAGTCTTTCTTGTAAATCTATTCGTCTGAACGAAAAAATGTGAATAATAATATTAGTTTGCCATAGATCACGCAAGTTCACGGCTGTGCAAACCGTCTCCGAAAATATTACTGTCGGAATTACCTTAGCGTAAACGTTTATACAATAATGTCTGCACCGGCGTATTCAGTTATAGCAGACTGTCTGGAGTGTTTAGTTACGCTTACGTATTAACGTATGTAGGTACATACATCTTCTCATAATTACTTAGGATGTCTACGAATAACGACCAATAATCCGGACAATTTAAGATTGCAAAATTAAAGACAAGTATGTAGCTAAAACGTAAACAAAAGTAATTCGGTATATTTTTTTTTTATAGCTTAGAAGGTTGGACGAGCTCACAGCCCACCTGATGTTAAGTGGTTACTGGAGCCCATGGACATCTACAATGTAAATGCGCCACCCACCTTAAGATTTAAGTTCTAAGGTCTCAGTATAGTTACAACGGCTGCCCCACCCTTCAAACCGAAACGCATCACTGCTTCACGGCAGAAATAGGCAAGGCGGTAGTACGTACCCGCGCGGGCTCACAAGCGGTCCTACCACCAGTAAAAAACCGGTATACAATGTTAAAGCAATTTAGATAATAAGTACCAGAGTTAAGTAAAATTCTTGCCGAATTTATACTAATAAATAACATTTTAAAATCAATTATATTTAGTTTGATAACCTCTGAACTAAAAGAACAGTAAAAAACTGGGTCTTTGTGATAATATTGGGAGAGGCTTGGTTTCGTTTTTGAACTTACTACATTTAATTGAATTTCAGTGTAATACGGTTTCACTGAACATAACAATACCATATAATTTATGAGAATTTAAGTATTTCACCACGAGAGTCTGCTTAATTCATAACACCAACAATACCTATACCTGCAAAAACAAAAATAAAATACAGGTTATAATGGTTAGCCTAAGCATATTTCTATTTATGTAACTATGCTGAGAGCTTAGAGCTTGTATCTCAAGGTGGGTGGCGCATTTTACATTATAGATGTCTATGGGCTCCAGTGACCACTTAACACCAGGTGGGCTGTGAGCTTGTCCACCCATCTAAGTAATAAAAAAAACAATAATAGTAATTTACAGTAGTTGTCAAATCGTATAGCAGTAATTTAAACATTTCTATCTAATGTTTTATTTTCTCACGTTTCACATAATCTTACAGCTATTTGGCACATCGATTGGCGATGCTATATATGTCGAAATTTTTAAATTTACACAGTGTGGCTAATGAAAGATAGCTAACAATAAAGACGTACATAAATTAGTAGGAATGTAGCAATGTGCACGCATGCAGTAATATTTTTTAACTCATACTGTTG